CCCCAAAACCCCAAAACCCCAAAACCCCACAAGTAATTTGATAATAGTTATAAAATTAAGATAAAATTGATAAGTTTTAATTCTTTAGTCATAGTATAGATCTGAATTCATTAGCGAAATTCAAAGATCTATTAACCTCTTTTTGCTTGAAGTTAAAGTCTCTTGATTCAATTCTACTCCTTAAATCTAGATTTTTATACTATCTAATAAAGTCTTTTTCTTTTGGCTATTAAGACAACCTCAATGGCTGCATGCTTTCTTCAAATCGTTCAATTTCCATATTATAAGAGTTCATAGAGGCTTTCTTTAGAACTGGAGATAACTCCTTGATGTTATTTCTGATGAACTCTGGGAAAAACCCACTAATATCTACATTTTGTATGTTTCTTTGCTTTGATTTCAATTTTTGAGCTAAAATCAATCTCTATCTCCTAACAGCTAAACTTCTATACTCACTATTGTTCTAGACATCATTGAATTTAAGAGTCTATAATTAAGAAGAGACATCCTAAATATTCCTCTAATTCATGTCTTTATCGAATTAATTATATTAGTTATACAAGTTTTTCCTAAAGCTTTGAGAGACCTCTGAATAAGTTTGCTTGATATCTGTTTTCGTGATTTTATCTTGAAAAGACAGACCCTTCTTATGGATTAGTTTTATACTTTAATTTTAAGGCTCATTCATAAAGTTATCTCTCATAACTAAGGAGTCATTATTTGCAGCAAACATACTCATAGGAGATGTATTTCTAGGAATGATTTATGAATCATATTGATAGTTTCTAGTTTAATTCCTTGAATTTAAATTCGACTTATTCTTGTTCATTATTTTATTTTTGTCATTTCTCCCCATAATCTTATTCTTTACTAACTCAAGATAACTGCTTTTTCTTTCAAATTAATGTTCATCTTAAATAATTTCTTTGAGATTTTATTTGCCAATACTCATTATAGAATGCTTAGGCTATTCAAACTGCTTGATATCTTACTTTTTAAAGATGGTTCTATATTAGTTTAGAGATCTTTCTACTAAGGAAGTCTTATTTTTCTTGTCAGAGAGATCTGAATATAGATCCTACAAAAATTGAATATTCTATATTTTTTCATTATGAGTGGTTTCTTCTGTATCCATTTCTATAGATGCCTTGCTTTGATGAGTTTCATCCATTATTCTTGAAATCACATTGCTCTTTGAAGATTTTGATGGAGACATTTCAGATCTATGAGACTCTTAGCTTTAAATATTCCTTTTTTTAATAAGATTTTGAAGATACATACTTTTTGGCTTATGATATACTATTCTTTTTTGTAAAGATTGATTATCTTGGGATTTAATGAGTTTCTTCTGGGATTAGTCTCTAAAATCGTGAGTCAACGCAATAGCTCTCTGATTTTTTAGATTTTAAATTTTAGTCTTAATGACTTGTATCTTATTGAAGTAATTAAGCTGATAAGTTTTCAATTTATTTTAAGCAGAGGGTATTTCTACAGATCTATTCAAATTAAATTACTCTGATGTATTAGTATTATTGTTGTATTTATTTCTAGAAAAATAGTTTCGTCTAAATCTGTTGTTGCTTTGTTCTATAGGCTTTATGAGATGATCATTCATTTTTAATAATTAAGCTGGCTTATACTATATGTAATTTACTTAGGACTGCTTTTTATTTGATTAAAAGGTATGATTTAAGTTTTTTGGCTGAGGCAACATATGTTTAATTTTACTAGAACTTCTCATATCACTAATCGTCTTTAGCATTTCTCATTTACTTTGAACATTGGAGTTAAATTACATTGAGATATAGTTATTTGCCTATAACTATTCATATTGAGGCATTAGTAAGTGCCCTGTATCATGATGACTCAACATTCCACTTTCTGTTAATTAAGGAGGCAATTTGTCTATTCCTAATAGCTAGGGTTTGATTTTTTATGCACTTAAGTCAATATTGACTAACTTCTAGTCTGATTCGACGATTTCACTATATCTACTCATTTTTATTTGCCTTTTAACTCTTGAATTTTAATTCGATCTCTTTATGGACATTGTGGTATGAATGCTCTAAGCATCTCTCTCAGATATCTTGGATATAGAGTTAGTAGTATCGATGGTTTTAATATTCGGCATAATAATTGAATCCATTTTGTAGTTTATCTAAGACCATGGAGATATCTAGTCATTTATTATTTGGGAAGAATTCTTGGTATTAGATTTAGAAAGTTTGTGCTTTTGATATCTGAGTCTAGAATTCATATAGAGGGCAGGATTGAATTGTTGATTATGAGGATTGTGGACAGTAATGTTATTCATGTTTCATGATGGCTTAGATTTATGGCTTTTAAAAAGATCAACTTCCTAAGATATGTAGTTCTGCTTTAACTAAAGCTGATTTCGCTGCTAAGATTTAAGGCGTGATTTCAGAGACTGATGGAATATCTAAACTCATTCGAATGTTAATGATAATCGCTTACTTTTTTATTGTTTATAGAAGTCTAATAATTTGCAGTTATATCCATTGAAATTTAAAAATATTTATTTCTTTATTTATACAACAAAGATAGGAATCATGGGGTTTTGGGGTTTTGGGGTTTTGGGG